TGCAAAAGCACACTTCTATTTCTCGAGTGAGTACACATTTAATTTAAAAAAAAAAAAAATTATGAACCATTAAACAACCTCATCTGCCGAAGCTCCTCAGCTTCCTTCTCAGTGCAGCCATGAGTGCAACCCGAGAAAGCCAACATATCCATCTCATATCTTAAATGCAATGCTAAATAGGTTCCCTTTTGCCTGATTATGCGAATCAACTTGTTACCCAGTTCCTCGATCTCAGGCGTGAACTTTAATGCCTGGAAATTCACACGGCATCTGAGTTTCTGAAGCTCAAGTGGGATCCCATTGTTAGACAACCTAGAATCTGTTCGGTTGAAGTGTATGACCTTGTGCTTGTCAAAGAGAGGTAGGATCTGCAAGGTAGAAAAATTTGCATTCTAAGTTCCAAATAACAAGTTTAAATTTAGATTTGGATCCCCTTATGTTCTCAAAAACTGCTTCTTTTTATTTTTCTTTTACACTCTTCATAAAATATTTTACCTAGCAAAATTTATAAAGTTAATCGAGTATTATATCTCAACTAAACACACTACTAATTTCCCTTTCCTTTATCATGTTAACAGAGTCGAATTTCAGCCCTATGTCGTGTACCGTCTTTTCTCTCGGTAATTCTTCCCGCCTGAATCTTTTCTACTTTAAAATCATCCCCCTTTTTACTTGTAAATAAATTTGTTCGCGTGGTTGAAGGAGGGTTCCACTTAGCGAAATTTTAATTAGCGAAATTTTAATAGCATTCTTCAAAAGCACCTACTGAAATATTACACACACACTTAACCTGTTGCAAGTAGTATTGCTCATTTGACCAGCTAATAGGTGGCATCACAAGGGGTTGATATCCATACTGCCGGCTAAATTTTTTAGGTAACCTCTTCACAATTCGTACTTCATCTCTCAATGAATTTATGAAATGTGCCACGTCAAATATATCCTCAAAATTGCTGCATGTTGAAACTTCTTTTAATTTGAAAACTGCATGAAACAAAAAATGATACTCGAATCCATTTTCGAGTAAATACCTAGGGTCGGCCCAAAATGACGCCTTATCAAGCTCCGGAACAACCAAAGTAAGATTTAGAAGACGAGCAACCGTGACCATGTCACAAATCTGAAAAAATCCAGAACGAGCAATATTAGAAAAAGTGAAACATAAAAATGGATAGAATTAAGATATAATGACACTAATATAATACAACCCAAACCTCTGAGCGCATTTGATTCAAGCCGCCATTGCAAGTGACTCTAAGAAAACCTTTGCTTGTGTAGTTCCCTGGAAAATCATCGTGAAGCGCACAGTCATATACTAGCACCTTTTATATAAATACAAAGGGCCCACAGGGCCTACGTGAACCCGTAAATTTAGATAGATACAACAGCCATCTCTTTAAAAAATGAAAGCCACCTTCCATGTACATCACACAATTAAACTAAAGACGGCACCATATCGAGTCAGACCAATATAAGATAACATCCAGTTGCCAAGGCAGCATCACAAAACATAACAAACTTGCAGCAATTATTATTCAGAAAAGCATTCGTAAATGCAAGCATCGTTGACAATCCAAGAATTTGTAAACTACAATACCAAAAAAAAAAAGAAAGTTAGCAACATTGCCAACAAGCACAAACAACACAACAGAAAATATAATTTTACAACACATGACTAATTACCCAAAACACGAATCCACGAAAAAAGAGAAAAGAAACAGGACACAAATAAAATCGATCACGAATATTCTGCACAATATATACAAATATACATATACACACATATATATATATATACACACACACATACATACATACATACATACTGATGGAGACGAGACCGTGATAGCGTTTTTGAATAGTTCGTATTCTTCCAATTCATACTCACGCTCTACATCACATACTTACATCATCAACATGAAATGGAAAACTTAACATAAAGCAAACCCATTATTCTCTATATGCAGAAAATAATCTACATCACACCACATTGCAAAACTGTCCAAATCAGCATTGCGAAATCTTCAGATCCACAAAACATCACCAAATTTAACTCTGAGAAAGAGAGAAAGTACATACTAGCCGGTGGATAAGAAGTCAACAATGATCCCTCTCGACGAGCTGACATTTTTGTATATCCCGAATACCCGGTGAGCAAACGAGGATGCCAAAGTTCCCCAACTGCCACCAGTTGAACCAAACACGTCCATATTAGTATGCTAGAACAAACCCTAATAAACCACACCTGCAATCTTGTCCTCTGGATCACAGGCCCCTGCAATGGCGGCAGTTTCTCCGAACTTCTCTCCGATCTAATCCCCTCCATTGAAGCGTCATTTCATTTCACCACGGCCCAAAATTCATGCCGACAATTCTTGTTTCCTTACACAGGAGCAGACATATTTTACAGATGTGAGCAAGATTGTGTTAAAGATACGATTTTTACAGCGGATTTAGGGGTTTGAAGGAAAGCCCAGTTGATAAAACTCAAATTCAATTGAACTTTTGAATCATAAGAGGGATTGAAGGAATGAGATCCCAAGGGCGAACTGAAGAAGAAAAAAAATAAAAAAAAAAAAAAGGAAAATCTGGGGAGAGGGAAAGCGATGAATCTAAAGAAGGGACAAGGAAATTAAATAGAGTAGAATTTCACGGAATGGTTATAATTAGTTATGCTTTGAGGGAAGTGACCAAACCCAAAAGTGTCAAATGAACTGCCTAATTTTCTCGTGTTATCAGCAAGATCTAAGCGGGAGAGAGAGAGAGAGAGAATAGATTTAAGAAATAAAATAAATAATTATNNNNCCTACCTTCCTTGACCGGGTAGAGCGTTCGTGCTGATAACGTGTTATAAAAACGGGAAAAGATAAAGAACACAGAGTAGAAACCGAATAGAAATTATACTTAATATTTTCTTTTCTTCTTTCTTTCCTTTCAATTGTGCTCTCTTGCAATACATATGCTTTGCCTTTTATAGGCAAATTCTACCGACACATACACACAAATAATGCACATCCATTATTCATACCCATACCTCATTTATTATTCACATTTAATCAAATAGTGAAATATCACTATCAAAGCATAGTGGTTTATTCCACTTATTTCTAACAGAGAATAGTTATTCAGTTGAATTTACAGTCAAATGGTCGAATAAGCTGAACAACTGACTCTAGCAAAGAACCACACGTACGAGTCAACCTACAAACACAACATAACTAAAAAAACTCTCAAAAGGAGGAGAAACCAAGAACTCTCATCGGGAGAATACACCAAAACACTCCCAACAGGTGAGAAGAAGATAAAACACAAGCAAAAACAAAACACATAATCAGAAAACAAAGAACAAACTAAAGAAACTCCAAAACTACAATTAGTTAAAAGGACACCCTCCCCTCCAGCCACTAAGCATCGCGAACCTTCGTTGCCCAAACAGCTCCACTGCGGGAAACAAAAGAGGCACCAGCCCCTAGCTCTCACACACACATGGGTCGAGAAACTCCCCCTACGGCTAACTCGACCCGGACCGACGGACCCGAAACCTCCCCCGAAAACCACAACATACAACTCCGAGAGGCATAAACCAAGCAACCACCCCGCCGCATCAAACAACATTCGTAGCTCGAGTACCACTGACATCGAATGACACAAGGCGGAAGGCACAAAGCCCCAATCTCCGACCTAGAGCCACAGCAGCCAGAGGCCCTAGAGCCATACACCTCCAACGAACCAGCAATCACCACCACTGCCGCCATGCCATCCCAGCAGAAGGACAAAAACCACTTGGCATCAGCAATTGCAAGCAAGCCGGTAGAGCAGCCTAATTGGAGCCAACAGGGAGTCGAGAGGCCAAAATGCACCCCTCCTCCAAGAGTCGAACCTCTACCCCAGTGCAAGCCAAATCACTCCCTTCACCAAGAATTGGTGACGGCTAGCAAGACCCCACCATGAGAAATAGCTGGTCACAACAGCGCCCAAAGCTTCCCCGACCCTACCCTCACCACAATCCTGCCAAAAGAATCCAAAAGGCCTGAAGCTAGAGGACTCATCCGTCGGGAGAAACTCCCCGTCTCAGATGGGCCGACTTTGGCATCTCCGATATGTTGAAGCCAGGGTTAGCTATAAATCTGTGAGAAGGAACAACAGGAGAAATACACGCCGATTAATTAAATGGCATACTTAATTGGGTGGTGAAATCAAATGGGCCTGTATTTTTTAACAAAGCCCAAGATCAGTTATTTGATGTTGAAATCTATTGGGCCTGCACTTTTTGCTGATATAGCCCGAGATCACAAGCCCACTATATTATTGTGAGGCTTCGATAATATTCAAGATGGCCAACCACGTGGGGCCGAAATTATTTATTCAAACCGAAGAGAGTCGGGGACGAGATTATTTATATAAACCGAAGAGAGCTGGGGCTGAGTTCATTTATTCAAACCGAAGATAGTGTGGGCCGAGTTTATTTATTCAAACGGACGAGAGCCGGGGCCGAGATTAGTTATTCATACCAACGATAGTTGTGGCCGAACTCATTCACTCCAAGCTGATTTATTTATCAACGATGGTGCCGAATTCATTTATCTATGTCGGAGCATGAATCATTGATCTATGATGGAAGCCACTTCTCTATATGCTACGGCCTATTCATTCACGTCGTGCCTGATCATCTATTTGCAACGTCCATATTTTTCTCGCCGTTGAGCCTACACTCCGACTGAGACGACGTCCATGTTT